GGCATGGTGGTGGACACCTGTAGTCCCAGCTACTTGGGCAGCTGAGGCAAGGGAATGGCATGAACCAGGGAGGCGGAGCTTGCAGTGAGCCGAGATTGCGCCACTGCACTCCGGCCTGGGTGACAGAGCAAGACTCCATCTCAAAAAGTAAATAAATAAAAATAAAATGTATCTATTTAAGGAAAATCTGGGCATTCCACACTGCTAATCCATAGAATGACCTATCCATTGGCCATGATTTTTCAATTATTTAGTTTCTTCAGAAATATAATGATTCAAAATAAGAACAATGTCTTTGTGGGTCTAAAAGGCAGATGAATTTTATTTCATACTGATAATAGAAACTATTTACATACATGTAGTGAAAAAGCTGCAAAGGAAACATTTTTTTGTCTCTGATCCTCTGATGTAAAATCAGGGATGCAAGTCTGAGTAGGATAAGTTTATTGACTCTGAAATGCTTTAATAAAAAAAATTTCACCTACTAAACAATTTGTTTTTCCTGCATAATTAACTAAAAGTACAAATGTACAGTTTATTAATAAAACCATCTCAAGATGATTAAATACGCTAACCTGTAACCTAATCATTTCTGACCACTGACACAGTATCTGTGTCACAATGAAAGAACTCCCTACTGGAATTTCCATGTGATTATCAAAAGTCTTGAATAAGCAATAGCTATTCGTTTTTTTTGTTTGTTTTGTTTTGTTTTGTTTTGCTTTGTTTTTTTTTTGAGACAGAGTCTCGCTCTGTCGCCCAGGCTGGAGTGCAGTGGCTGGATCTGAGCTCACTGCAAGCTCCGCCTCCCGGGTTCACGTCATTCTCCTGCCTCAGCCTCCCGAGTAGCTGGGACTACAGGCGCCCGCCACCTCGCCCGGCTAGTTTTTTGTTTCACCGTGTTAGCCAGGATGGTCTCGATCTCCTGACCTCGTGATTCGCCCGTCTCGGCCTCCCAAAGTGCTGGGATTACAGGCTTGAGTCACCGCACCCGGCCAGCTATTCGTTTTTTTTAAAAAGAGAAAGCAATAGGAAAAAAAAAGTTGTCCAATTTATTATTGAGCTACATATTTAATCCATAATAATCAATGGCAAACAGTCTGCTACCTCAGTAGAAGCGTGGGCATCCTGACAAGGTATTGCCTTATCAAAACTAATATTCTGACATTCTATCTATGTGTTGCCTTATCAACATTAATACTCAAGATATCTCAAACTCAGTGTATATAAGAATCACCTAGGAAGCTTATAAATGTAGATGTCTGATTCATAAACGTTGGATATATTTTGAGAAAATCTTTAGGAAATTCTGATACACACGTAAGAGTTTTAAAACCACTGCCATAGTTTAAACAGAAAAAAAATAGGAAGGAGAACTGGGGTATTATGTCAAAGAATGTTACTGGACCTACAAATTTGTTGGGTTTTTTTTTGTTTTTTGAAAAAAATTAGTAGAAATAAAATAGGGGAAAGTTGAATATACAAGCTACACAAAAATAGAAATAATAGAAATTGAAAAGTAAAGCATTTCAGAATCTGTGTTTTAACAATATTCTCTTAAAAACAATGTAATATTTGGCTGGTCTTTGGTTGTAGTATATAATTTATAAAATTATAAGATACTGATAACTCACAAATTTAATAAATCTCTCCTTAAAGTACCCAAACTGACTAACAATAGATGTACATAATAAGCAACGCTAAATGTCAAGTCACAGAGAAGCTTTGCAGTACAACTTAATTTAAAATTACTAAATAAGTTAGGAAAAACAAAAATAACGTAGGTAGAAATGTCAAATCTTCACTAATTTATAAGGAAACAAGCTTTGTCTGCCATCTAGAAAGTAAAATTAAATGAGTAAAAAATGATATCCAAAGGAAAAGAACAAATCTGGTGCTTCTTTCACCTACTATGGAGAAAGTAAACAAACTTCCCTTATGTCATAAACATGCTTTGTCTCAATCTTGTTTGTTGAATATAAACATGGTATATCATTTTATTCTGGACGAAGTTGTTTTATGAAATATCTCATATATTTTATGAGCTCATCATCATTTTATCTAGTAGTTTCATACTTGAATAGATTTTAAGTTCATTTACTGTGTTAATTTTGTCTTTTAACTAGTGTTATCCTAATTTAAAACACAGGGTAATTTGTTAAGTCATTTTCTATTCAGAGAAACATTTAAGTATCTTTTTGAGTAGTTATACGCTTTTCCAAAATGTTAGAGTGATGACCTTCTGTAAAATGAACAAAAATTATTATTATCCTATGGGGTCCTGAATATTGCATTAAGGGAACTGAATCTTGCTTAACAGGAATAACACAAAGACAATTATAAATTAAAATGTTTATTAACCATAAGATGGCACAAAATGAAATTTGGCAACTCACTAATTAATAAGTCTATTGAGCAATGATGATGAGCCCATAAAATCCAAAAAGTAAATTTTATTTTATTTAAGCAAAATTTCCCCCCATAAACTTGATGCTCATTCATGTTGTTGCTTGGATGGTACCTGCTATCCTGGTATACTGCAAAGTAACTTCCTCAAGACTCAAAGACCCACCAAGAAAGCCGTATCACAACTACGTTGAACCTTTCTGATCTATCCTATTGCTAACTCAGTTTTCTTTATATAATCTTCTTGTATTTTTTCCTTTAAGTTTAACAGCCTTTTGTTCCCTAATTGTTTCATGGATGCATCTCTTAAGTATATAAACTCGTGGGCAGAGATCAAATATTCAGAAGAACAAAATAGTATTTTAGAGACAGAAAATATTTTTGAGATTCATGTTAAATTTTCTCATATACTTCTTATGACACGAATAAAAACAATTAATTAACTTGATCAAATAGCATAGCACATAAGTTGAGTGTAATCATTACATGATGAAATTAGAAAACATTACAATTGTGTTGTTACCCAAAGTTTTTAAATACAAAAAAAATTTTAATGATAAAATTATGTGTAATTCTGACATTTAAAACTACTACTTCACTTGAAAGAGCTATGTTTGACAATTTCAAAATACTTATAATTAAGGAGATGCAAATATTTTAACAATTTTAGTTTATCTTAAGTCTTTTTTGAATAATGATATAAATGCATGTAATAGACAGTCTAACTACTATGTTCCAGTTTATTTTGGGGTATTTCTATGTTTTTCTTTACCCTTATCTGTGTTCTGGAGTTTCATATATATATATATATAAAAAAAAATATAATATTATATATTTGTGTTCAGGAGTAATATATAATATGTATTATATTATATGTAATATATTACATTATATTATATTTACATATATAATATATAAATTAATTTTCAGTCTTAAAAGTTTAAAAAATTTACACTAATATCACTAAATTTATACCTGTCATAGTCTGTTTCAGACTATCTATATATATCATCAGTAATTATACATGTCATATATCATTAATTATATACAATATATAATTATATATTTTATATTTATATATGATCTATATATGGCATATATAAATATTTATAATTTGTATATATTACATTATACATAAATATATATTATATGATATAAATAATCATATGGTTCATATATAAATTACAAAATCAGTGATTTTTATATATATAAAATAATATATATAACCACAATTTTAAAAATAGTTACAGAGTTAACAGTTGGAAGTTATTTAATTTGTATTCTATTTCATAATATACCTTGGTACTGTATTTTTTTGAAAGTTCACATATTTAAACAATAACAAAACACAAAAAGTTATAAAGATAACTCTAGCCAAATCAAAGAAAACAAAGTAAAAGGAATATTTAGTGGTCTATTTTATGAAAAGGCTTTTAATGTAACTTAAATTGCAGAAAGAAAGGAGAAAAGAACAATTAGAAATGACTTAATGAGAATGATATTGCTATGATTTGGATATGGTTTGCTTATTCCCATAAAATCTCATGTTTAAATTTAATTCCAAATGTGGCAGTGTTGGGATGTAAGGTGTAGTGGGAGAGGTTTGGGTCATGGGAGCAGATCTCTCATGAATAGATTAATACCCTCCCTCAGGGGTGACCGAGTTCTAATTCTATTAGTTCCTGTGAGAGCTGGCTATACAAAAGAGGCTGGCACCTGCCCCCGTCTCTGGCTTCCTCTCTCACCATGTGATTTCTGCACACTCAGGCTCCCCTTCACGTTCATCTTCTGCCACAGGTAGAAGCAGACCAAGGCCATCACTGAATGCTCAATCTCAAACTTTTCAGCCATCAGAATCATGAGACAAATAAACTTTTTTCCTTTATATACTATCAAGGCTTAAGTATTCTCTTACAGCAATATGAAAGAGACTAAGACAGGTATAAATTTAGTGACATTAGTATAAATTTTTAAAACTCTTTTAAGACTGAAAATTAATTGGCCCATTAACCTCTCAATAATAGAAATGCAAAGACTTTGAATTCATGTGCTCAATCTAAATCAACAGCCTCTACAGAACTCTCTTCTATAGTAAAGATGAAAAAGAAAGAATAAACATCAGAGAGCAGCTCAGATACTGTAGCGCTAGGACCAAAAGTTAGAAAAAACAATTGGTAATAAAACAATTCATATACTTATTTCAAAAGGAAGGAAAAAGTCACAAAGATGTCTACTGTAGACTATACAAACCTAAACTCATCAATAATAGATTCTAAAAGATATGTTAATTGGCTTTTTTTTAAGTCAGGAACTCTAAGTGACTCATAACTATTATTTGTGTTTCCTCCCAGATAACTGCCTAGTGATCCTAAACTCCCTTGCTGTAATATTAATACCAAGGCCAAAATTAAGCCAGATTGTTTTTTCTTTCACATCTTTAGATTCACATAGTCTTTTCAAATACACTACTTTAAATAAACTATGAAAAAATACCTAAATGATGGTAAAAATAAGTGATACGCATTCACTTAGGCTTAATGAAAATAAGTAAATTTTCAACAATATGAAACATGAAATCATAATTCATTACATACCACAGCACTCAGGACATTTTGGATGTTGCTGGACATTCATTCCATACCCTGGAAAGCAGCGATTAATCCAAACCATTTGGAGAGTACCTTCAATATAGTATATTTCAGGTAATCGTTCTGCACGTCTGCCAAGAATTTCTACTTGTTGATTAAAGAATCTCTCTATGAGATTTTTAGCCTAAAATATAAATACAATTTGATGAATTGTTAGCCATAAAAAATGTAATTTTAGAACAAATAAGGATGGCATGTGAATTTACAATTTGAAGAAAACAAAGTCTCAAAGTCTTTATTTTTTCTAGCACTCATAGAATATAAATAAAACACACAAAACTGAAAAGATGTCATCTATATACATCAAATATTTCTAAATGTACTTCCAATTACAATGCAAAGAAATCATTTGAAGATATAACCAAACTTTTTGGTCCCTTTGTATTTTGAATAATATATGGATAAGTATATGAGCAAAATCAAGAAAGCTCTTTGAAATTGATTGAATGATAAGAAATGTAATGTACTTTAAAATAATATATTATAAGCATCTGTAAGAAGCTTATCCTGAGGCACAACATCAACTCTTTTCACAAAGAAAAATTTAATTTAAAAACAAGAAAAAATATAACACATTACAACTTCTAGCTCTGTTTCAAAAATTAAGTCAAAAAAAGCACCATTCTGATCTGTAATTATCTGTATGTTTGTAATAATTATACTGGCTTGCCTCCTAAAATTAACAAGAGCCTTAGACTTCTCTGACTGCTAAAATCTATGCATTCATGTATGAGGTATGCATAAATTCAAACTGCTACAAGCTAGTTAGTTCTACTCCACTCTGCCACACTAATTTCCACCTCCAATCTAGTCAGGAGCAGGGATAAATGGACCACACAGGCTGATCTATAACCACTAATGGTGCACCTCATGTCTACTGAGTTCTTCCAATATCTTGCAAGTTACACTCCTTCCATTACAATTTCTATAATGCCCAGATTCTCCCATGCAAAAACACCCACAAAGGGTGATAAAATAACTGTTTCATACATAAAGTAACTTAAAATACTGCATAAAATTATTTTCAGGTTATCTGTATAAGGCAGTGGTTCATAACCTTTTTGGTACTAGGGAATGGTTTTACAGAAGACAGTTTTTTCACAGACCAGGGTGGCAGGATGTTTTTGGGATGAAACTGTTCCACTTTAGATCATCAGGCATTAAGATTCTCATAAGGAACGTGCAACCTAGATCTCTTGCATGTGGAGTTTACAATAGGGTTTGTGATCCAATGAGAATCTAATGCTGTCACTGATCTGACAGGAAGTGGAGCTCCGGCAGTAATGTTCGCTTGCTGCCACTCTCCTTTGGCTGTGTGGCCTGTTTCCTATCAGGCCATGGACTGGTACTAGTCCAAGGCCGGGGGATTGGGGAACACTAGTATAAGGTATATATGAAACATAAATAAATTTTCTATTTAGACTTGGGTCCCATCCCCATGATATCTCATTATATATATGCAAATACAGCAAGTCCTCAAATAATATCCCTTCCTTCAATGTCATTTTGTTATAATGTTGAAGAGAAAAAAATGCTTCCCAGCTAGGCCACTGTGCACGTGGAGTCTGCATGTTCTCCCCATGTCTGCATGAGTTTTCTCCAGGTACTCTGGTTTCCTCCCACATCTCAAAGATGTATGTTATATTAATTGGCATGGCTAAATTGTCCCCCTAGGAGTAAGCGTGGATGTGTGTGAGTGCACCCTGTGATGGAATAGTATCCTGTCCAGCGTTGGTTCCCACCTTGAGCCCTGAGCTACTTGAATAGGCTCCAGCCACCAGTGACACTGAACTGGAACAAGTAAATAACTATCATACTTTGTTTTCATTACTCTTTCTTAAATATATGTGTTTCTCACATTTATTTCAATGTTTAATATTAGAAGTGTTTTGGGTCTTTATTTTGAAATGTGGTTACATTTTTGCAACCAGAAATATGCCAGAGGAATTTAACTCTCATTTATATCATTTAGCCTGTGGTAAAGTTGTTTTGTTATATGTCATTTTGCTTAAAGTTGCAGTTTCCAGAAGTCTATTGATGAAATTAAGTGAAGACTTACTGTATTTCAAAATCTGAAAATATCTGAAATCTAAAATACTTCTGGTTCCAACCATTTCAGATAAAGGATATTCAAAATATGTATAAATGTGTTATGAAAGTAATTGCATTTAAATTTGAGACTATAATTAAAACTGTCAGGAGACACATTCCTAATCACTCAGATTAGGTCATACAGAGCCTAATTAGGCTTCTAATACCCCATGAAAAAACAAAAAAAAAACCTAAATGAAGTTAGACCTGAGAAAACCTAGTGATAGATGCAGGAGGCAGATAAGGGAGGATCCCTGGAGAATCCCCGACCTGCCCCACAAGTGTTTACATCAGATGCTTTTGTGCAGATGTGGGAACCTGCCCAGGGTCTTGTCTGTGCATGCTGGCAACAGACTGGGGGCCTGCCTGCACACTGGGAAAAGGGGGTGCAGCCAGTGGGGATTCACACCTTAAGCAGTGAGAAGGGTCCTCTTCAGCTCATATGTGTGGTGATCTGGTATTCAATCTGTGAGTTGGAAGCCTGCTGGCAGAACCCCTTTTTTTTCACTGAGAGCTTTCTTTAATAAATTCCGCTCTCCTCAAACTTTCAATGTGTCCATATGCCTAATTTTTCCTGGTTGTGTGATAAGGACCTGGATTTTAGCTGAACTAAGGAGCAAAATATTTTGCATCATTTTGGTGGCCCATGTGGGGACATGAGGAAAGGTGAGTAAAATGCAGACCAAAGCATCTTTTCCCCTCTTGTATCTGAGCCTTTTTGTCCTTGGACTTCTGAGAGTAGAAGAAACTGCATCCCCTACCCACCATTGCTCTTGGGGGTCAGGAATGTCAACCTTGGTCTAACCTAGCCTTTTCTATGGCATTTTCCTTCTTTTTTTCAGGACTGTAATGGCACCACCCCACCCCAATGGCCGCAGGCACCCATGGGACTAAAAGGCAAGCAGCATCACCTGTTCCCCCTTCCCTCCCAGCTGGGGCTGGGGCCCATGCCCAAAGGGTCCTGCGTGGCAGGCTGGCCAGCATTCCCTGCCATGTGTGTGTCCACAGGGTCTTCCCCTCCCCTGGCCAAGAAGTCCAGCTCTGTTCCAGCCCCAGGGAAGAAACAGCAATTAAGTTTCCCTCTTTGTTGGAGGAAACCATTTGCACAAGAATAAGAGGTTCTTCCCCCAGTTAACACAGCCCTGAACGTTAAGCTGTTTTTATTTTCTTATTTTTTTTTTACTCCACCAAGTCAAGAGTTAACTTTTACGCGAAAGGCTTTTTTCCTTTCAGAAGACATTTTACTAGGCCAGGACCCTAACTATCACTGTTTATATTCTCCATAAAGTTTTATTTATGAAAAAGGATTTGTGAGGCTGGTCTTAAGTTACAGCCAATCTGGAGTGCTTTACATGTCTTTACGGTTCTGTCAAAAAGAGGGGTACCTAAGGATGCGATATGGGCCCAGGACTCCACAGGCCCTCTATTAAAGCCAGTCTGGCAAACTGGTCAGTGGCAAACTTTGCTGCAGGCCTTCATCTTGTTTTATGTCCTTGGAAGCATGATCTTACTGTAAGCAGGTGGCAGTGCTTTGTTTCAGCCTCCAACATTTTACAATGGCAGCCTGGGTTCAAATCTTGGCTTAGGGGAGTGAGTCCTTTCTGGTTTGCTATCTGTGTGACCTTTGACATTTGTTGATTCTCTTACCCTCCACCAACCGCCTTGAATTTTCCTCTCTGAGCACCTGGGAGATTACCTTTGATAAAGTTTCAAAGCTACAAATATTGGCTGTTTGGCATGGATAAAGTCAAGTAATAAGGGATTTAAAAGGATTTTTTTTTAAAGAGCACTCAGCTTAATTCAAAATGGATATCCAAGTTATGAGTATATTTAAAAGGCCTTTATGTTTTTCTCTTCCTGAACTTTATTTTCCTGGAAAAAGATTTTTTTCTCAGCTGACTAAACTATTTGTCTCCATTTTGCCTTGCCAATCTTAATGCATGCATGAGACACCCTAAGATAATTTCTCATGGCCTGGGACTCCTTGGGAAAAACAGAAAAGGTGCCACAAATTCCATTTTGGGAGAGACCTCTGTTTTCTTAAAGAAGCCCCAGGAATTAGAGGTGGATAGATCCCTCTCAAAATCTGTTTTTATCTTCCAGCTATACCTGTTTAATAGGCCCTGGAAACTGCATGCTTTCCTAGCCTTGCTTTAAGCCTTTCCTAGCCTTAGAGAGTTCCATCCAGAGGCCAATAATCCAATGAGGAGACTGGCAAATGAAAAGTCTTATAGTTACTGAATCTTCTTCTGCCTTTCTGTGTAGTTATATATGTGTTTTGTGTGTGAGTGTGCATGTGTGTGTGTGTGTGATGTCTATAAAAAAGAGCTCTAATTAACTGACTTTAAAGAATGATAAACACTTGGATCAAATATTTTTTAAAAGGAAAATAAAAGCTGTGGTACCTTTTAGTTCACATGACATTAATTTTTGAAAAATAAAAATAGTCTTAAAGATTATTGGTAAAATGCAGATGTTGTCAAAATGTAAATTTTTGACTAGGGTTAATTTAGGATTGTTTTGAATTTGATAAGATAAAGCTAAAAGTTCAAACAAGTTGTGGAAAAACTGTAAAAATTAATCTTGCAAAAGAAATTTCATGTGTGGATACATTAAATTCAACAGGGTATTATATGGTTTGTCTGTAAATTAAGCATTAAAATAAAAGCACAACAAAATACTCTTAATGCACTAATCTGCTCTTTAGCTAAATCTGTAAAGGGTTATAAGAGGTTTTTGCTTTTAAAAAAAATCCTAAGTCATCATTTTGGAAAAATAAATAATACGGAAATTTGGAATTCTTTCATATCATCAAGTGTTTTAAACCTCTAACATACTTAACAGGCCTCCCCAAATCAAACTTCAGTTTCAAAAATTGTCTTTCCTGACACCTAGCTTGATGCTACAGGGGGCCCCTGAAGCATCTAGAAGAGTGATAAACAGGATTATCTGACATGCTTAGGTACATGGGATTGCCAAAATGATGCTTAATCTCTAATTTAGGTTATATTTTATGTAATAGTGTTAATATAT